ACAAAAAATCTATTTGTAAACAAAATAGATATCTATGCTTCGCTACGCTTCGCATCCAGAGTCGCTATGCTCCTCTGAAATAAAAAGCTAAATACCAACTAAATAGATAACTATGCTCCGCTACGCTCCGCATCTGGTTCGCATTCACCTAAAGGTTCATGCTCACAGTAACAGAAAGCTAAATGTTAACTAAACAGATAACTATGCTTCGCTACGCTTCGCATCCAGAGTCGCTATGCTCCTCTGGAACAGAAAGCTAAATAGTAATCAAATTAGATATAAAAAAATACACCAATTTTGTCCAAATTTTTTATCTAAATTTTTTTACTATCTGTTTTATTAATAGAAAGCTAAATGCTAACTAAAAGATAACTATGCTCCGCTTCGCTCCGCAACTGTTTCGCACACCCTCTAAGGGTGTGCTCACAGCAATAGAAAGCTAAATAGTAATCAAAATAGATATCAAAATTTTCACTATAGTGTTATAGTCTTAAAAATACACCATTCATTAGATTTATATAAGTTACTCAGGAACATAGTAAAAGTCTGAAATCTATAGGAAATCCCCTGACTTTTACTAAAAAAACACGAAAATTGTCCTAAAAAGCCCACTATACGTATACTGGTGCAGTTATTATTTTCGAGCATCCCTTTACTTGCACGATTCACTATATGATCATGTAATACTGGTCAACTTACTGATAATAATGTGATACAATCACTCATTCCGCACGAGATGAATTCACGATAATCTTTTAATTTATCGGTTAGGTTTTCAACTTTTTTAACAGTTAATTCTTAACCGAGAAATTGCCCGAATCCAGACAGCAATCTAGTTAATTACGACATCAACAATATCAACTGGGTTCAATCGCTTTTCACAACCCTTAATCATCGTCCCAACCATAACTTTGGCGTAATCCACATACTATTTACATCATCAGGGAGAAGAAAGGAGGGGGTGGGGGGGGCGAATGAAGGCTGTATGCCCAAATTCGAACGGATCCGCATGAAGGTTTTTTTATATTAAAAATCTCATGTAAATGACGACAGCAGAAATTGTGCTGTGCCTTTTCTTCTAGGAAACCTGACATGGAATCCGTCAACGGCTGAAGAGTTTTCCCCAACCTTCCATATTTAGTATATCATGGTTTGCCCAATCGCTTCGGATACTTGCCGAATAACGCCACACACGGTTAATACAAGATTCATCACTTGTTTGCCGCCCTCCTTGTCCCTTGTTACCATAGAGGGAAGCATACGTTAATGTTTTTACGGTATGGTTGGTCCTTTCGCTTTATCGTTGCCACCTGATTACGCAATAATCTCAAAATGTCAAAGTGCAGGTTGACGGCAATTTTCTGGGCACACAAAAGAGATATTTGATATCTTTCTTTTACAATCTTTAATTGTACTGCTCAAACCGCGGGAATGTACTTGATTGGTTCAAGCTGATTGATTACCTAAATTCAAATTTCAAGGACGAGATTATGCAATAAGGGTGGTGTTTCATGGGGAGAGGAGGGATAATGTGGAAAACGAAAATTGACACACTGAAATGTATTAGTCGGTTTTTTTTCTAAGGAGTGAAAAAAAAGTATTCACGAGTGAAACGATGTTTTGGTTGTTAAGGACTCGATGATGATGTTTATCTGCATGAAAGCAGGGGGTTGGGAATCAAAATGCATTGGCTACTTTTTTTTCTGTTGCTTGCGTTTCTTCTTTGTTGCTCTGCCACATACATAACTATCCAAAACTTTTGTGGTCTTTATGGTAGATAGAATGGGCGCTGAGACAAGGTTTGTTATCAAATTTTCGGGTATTACGAGCGATTGTTTACTGATTTGAAGTCAACCATTCCTGTAACACGAGGATTATCAGACGATCAAAGAGTTCATATGTACACTTAAATCTTTATTTTCATGAGGAGAAAGAAGTAAAAACGTTTGATGAGAAAAAGTCTGTACAAATATTGATCAATGTCTATTGTGCATTCAGAAAATGCAAGTAAAAGTCGTGATAATTACAAAGTCTATTGATTGTGCGAAAAAAAAAATGCTTAGAAATGAAAGAAAACTATAATGCATAATGAAATGATTCTCTGTGATGCGAAAAAAAAAATTGTCCGTTTTAAAAAAATAAAATCTTACAAATAGTTGAGACGTGGTTTAGTTACATAAGCGAACATGGTCGCTGCAACATCCTGAACAAACTAACAAAACATATACATCGTTCGTGTGAGAATGTTGCCCCACTTTGTCATCTTCCATCGTAGACTGTTCCCAAATCTCACTTTGACGTTGTTGCTGATGATGCTGCTGCACGCACAAATGTCCGCTTTATCAAACAGAGTGTGGGTACAGCATCGGTGATCGATCCCTCGTGCTGAGGGTGAATGATGACAAGACGGCGAGGGGAGAAGTTGTTATCCAGGTTGGATCGGCCGAGTAAACATACAAGTTGTATACGAGATATCAATGTGAGGGTAAAATGTAGCAAACATTCCCGCCATCGCTATTGACTGGTGAGAACTTTTCAAGATAAAAACGTGGGAAGTTCTAAATAGTAAGCAAAATGATGTTGGATTAGTCTATTGAACGATCGTGACATGTTATGACTAATACTGAACTAACGATTAAAGCTGATGGTTACCTTCGGGCATGATTGTCCGCTTGCTCTTTCGTGAGACACACCGACGGAATTTAGTGTATGACATGACAAATCGAAGTTGCATTTTAACTTTTATTACGGATATTTTATCCGAAAAGCCTAAATAGATCAATTGGGTAAGGGTTAGAATACAATATACAAGACAAGACAAGACACACACAATAGCGCTCGGTCTGTTTGCACGAGATACTTACGAAGCGATGTTCCGTCGCTTTCGATCTTTGCTGCTTCATCGCAACAGCACTCTGATATGCATTGTTCGCAATAGGCGCAGAATTCGTATATATCGGAAGTGTATATACTCTCTGCCTCGTCAATGTAGCACGGCGAAATGTGTTTTGAATTACTTTTGATCATAACGATAGTAGTCGATCGGAATGAGTTGCGACTAGAAAGAATTGCTCGAGTTTATATACAAAGCGAGAGAGCTTGACAATCAAATCTGACGTTTGATAAGTTTTTCCATAGAGGGTTCCCCCTTGGGCGTTTATATATCCAAAAAATTCTTGTCAATTACTTTATTTAATTAATAATAATGGAATATAAATAAAAATGACTCGATTGGTGTGGATAAATAGGGCAGCCGTAGTTTAAATGGATAGCCATATATATAAAGATGCATTGAATAATGGGCAATTCATCAATATATATTACTAATATATCAACACGTGATATGTACAATATAGTATATAAATAATAAATATACAGTGATTAATTAAATAAATGCATGACTCCAATCGGTGCCAATGCCCCCAAACAAACAAGACGAATAGAACTGCTCCATTTTCAGATTAAACCACTCACTGTCTCGTTCCTATCACATAACCTGGGATTAGTGCCCTGCAACTGACAAGAAATAAACGTATGCAGGAGCGATGACAAGTAGTATATCGAGCAATCGAGCACGCAAGATGAGATCTAAGTGGGTGTGGTCACTTACCACATCCGACGAGGAGAGCGTGGAAGACGAAAACGAGGGCGTGAGTAGAGAGTGTGTGAGGAGAGTGTGGGAGATAGGGCCTGTGTGTGCTATTTGGGCTATTTGCCTTGTGGGTTCAATGTGAATCATGATTAAACTCGTTGCTCTTATCCATTATAATTAGCGTGCAATCAAGGTTCATATTATTTTCACACTTGAAAAAATTTTTAATATGTTGACATATTCTGCCTGCCCAAACATCAGCCCCCTTAGTATTAGGGAACGATTACTATATCGGGTCTATAGATTGCTTTTGTGTTATTATTTTAAGTAATATCTTTTCCAATTTCCTGCCCATCGAACATTTAATAATAGTGGCCGTTTGTGAGATTACTATTCATAGTCTGAAATTACAGATCTTCCGGGATATATTAGGCAACTGACAAACATTGAATAGTGAGACAGTGAGTGTTAATATTAGGCCGGATTATCCGGATGCGCCACCGCCAAGATTACATCTCTATTCGGCTATTGACGTATTCTACATGGGTGATGCATATGAATAGAAATGCAGAACGTGGCGAAGAAACATTCTGCGGAAACGTTCAGCCCCGGAGAATAATAGAATATCTGTTTTGGTGACGCCAGCCGTTTCGCCACAATAAACTTCTCCTTCATATTATTAATATTGATACCGGGGATAACTTTACGCAGTTACCGGTCTGCGTATATACTGCGCTAATGCTGACGTTTGTCCTTAAAGTCTACATCACAATGATTCTTTTCCTCGACGCCCGTCTGTGATTGTTCTGTTTAGAGAACAGTATCTCGCTTAATTATTGTACATTGTTTACGTTAAGCGATGACCCTTTGTGAATATTTTAATTGCTACCATGACATTTCCATGTCTCGATATGGTGAAGTCCTTCCTTTAAGTTCGGAAACAGCTGTGGATAGCCCGTTATTAGTCTATATGAGGATTAAAGATTAGGTAATGGGTGAGCGTGTGAGAATAAATGGGTTGATAAGCAATAATGATTGTTTGTTAGTTCGGCTAATGCTCGCTAACTATTAAGGAAGACGCAGTAAACAAAACTGAAGCATGATGACGACTGATAGTTTTGCTGCGGCTGACAGATAATGTGAGAGGTGTTTATCTGATTGGTGTAAGATCATTTGTATCTTATCTTGTTTGTTGATCATCTTAATGAAATCGGGATCACTTAACCGTGGTCAGCTGCCCATCACGAGAATTATCCATCAGCATCATGAGAACATAGTTCATTTACCGATGTAAAGGATGAAAATGCCAATAGACAAATGGGACATTAACAAAACAATCAGTCACGCACAAACACAGAAATCCATATTGCTTGGTTCATTTTCATATTATTGAACAGTCGAATACTCCAATCATACCAAATATTGTTACTTGTTTACAACCAATAACTTGACTCCACGCAAATAATAGGCTTTCTTAACAAGTTACGCAAAGGATGACATCTGCAAAAGTGGTAACACAATAAGCAGTTGATATCTGATAACTCAATATACATTATTTATTTCCCTATTATAACTAATTTTTCTCCGGTTATGAAGCAAGCTCAATTGCGTGTAACATCATTCGGTTTTTCCGCAAAGAGATTTTTTACAAGCGAGGGCGTTACTTACGTACGTATAAAGAAGAGAGTAATAGTGATAGGCATAACAAAGGAGACCAGAATTAACCAATGTCCAACAGACAGCCACTTTATTCTTTCTCGAAATGTAAACACAAAAAAAGCTTATCTCTATGGTCACGAGACTGTATTTATTCTATAGGCACGAACTTATTCGGAATAACTACCCAACATGACTGCACATATCGTATCCCTGCATTGCAAGCAACCGGAATGTACGCCAGTATGAATGACACACCCCTCATGGATAGGGGAGAGAATTTCCGTTCGTCCATTTACCAAAAATGTAGAATGCAGGGATAGCAGAGAAGGGGAGGGGGAAAATGTAGGATAAATTACGCAGGAGAATCACATAAATTGCGGAATCGAACTAATTAGGATAGCCAATCCTAACGCATCATTTAACTGGTTGGTTCCAACAGGCGTTTCTTTCAGAATTCACGTTCTCGATGGTCGTATTTGAGAAACGTTTGCATTAATGTATTATCAAGTTGTCTAGGATATCGAGTTAGCATCTTGAAATGATTGATACAAGCATTTTACTGATAGGGGAATCATACATCGTAAATTTATTATATAATCAGCTTGTTTGACGCCCATTATAGATTACGTATTTCTACTGCCGATCAATCGTAAACCGTTGACTGTACTTCTTCGTCTAACATGCGGAAATGAAGATTTCAGAGCGTTCAAAACCCGTCGAATGTCCACAACCGTGTTATGATCCCCTGGCATATTTTGGCATATTTTTAGTGAACCGATAATCTCCACCAAACAGTTGGAAATCCCCGATTCAATGACTTGTTAACTTTGTTTGTTTAGCTTGTCTTTGTTGATATTCCCGAACGGCCTAATAAATCTTTTATTTTTATCACTATCATTATGATAATACTGTTGTTAGGGCCATAATAATAATATGATTGGCAGTCTTATTATCGACAGTGAGAATTATCGGGAAAAGATGTCAAAAAATCGTAATGATCTGTTTCCATTCAAAATACACTGTCTTATATTTAGCTTCATTTCGCTCTTTATGGCCACGCAAAAGCTTTTACTTAAACAACAAGGAGTGTGACCAATCCTGAGTCCCCTTATGTACTTATAAGAATTGGTTCTTCCCATTAGTCTTCCTTTTAAAGTAAGTTCTTTTTTTTAGAACGCCACTTTTAAAAATTTTAACAAGACCCTAAGACATTATCTGCTAAGAAAGTTTTCAAAACTCCAACCATTGTTCCAATCCGATTGTTTATGAGGAGAGGAAATACCAGGAATCCGTTGAATCGCTTTGCAATATAAACATTACTCAATTTATAAATACCTGCTGACCTACTGTAGGTAGCATGTCAATCAGAGAAAATTTTACTTCCTTTTTTGTTGAACAGGCTGTTTAATAAAAAGATACATCGTTCATGATTTTTGACTGTTCCCAAGATTTGTGCACAGGTCTAAGAAAGTCGAGAAGAAGGAACTGTCTTATTATTGAAATATTAAGAAGAATAAGCATAACACAAACGGAGAACGAAGTAACATCCATAGGAATCAGGTGATAATTTCTTAGTCAGCACTCTGTATAGCACAGGAAATAGCATTGGCTTTTCTAATTTTATCAAAGATAAAAGCCCTATGCCACGATTCACTCGGGTAGTCTACTAAAATAATTAAGGTAAAACTAAATTCCGGGCCTCTTGGCGTTTACGTTGAATTTAACGTATCTTGATTGAAGCCTTTTGAGATTACTACGATATGATGATGTATTTACCGCATATTGCAAATTCTCACTACAGTCAAAACTCGATATAGTGAAGCCTCGATATAGTGAAGCCTCGATATAGTGAAGATCTAAATAAAGACCTCGAAAACTCGATATAGTGAAGATCGCACTATACTGAAGAATTTCTCTGGTACAAAAATATAAACTTTACTATATTCAAAGATTTCGATACAGCGAAGAAAAATGCCCGTCCCGCTGACTTCACTATATCGAGCTTTGACTGTATATCGAAAATTCACTGTATCGAAATCTTTCAATATAGAAAGTTTATACTAAATATAATGATCAGAGAAATTCTTCACCGTAGTGCGATCTTCACTATATCGAGGCTTCACTATATCGAGCTTTGACTGTACCACTCTCTTTCGACTCGAGATTTTTCTCAATTGTTTACGTAAATCTGATATTTGATTTTTTAAATCGGTCAATTCAATAATAGTGGTCTTAATTCCCCTCACATTTTTCTAACTCCCGAATAAATTTGCGAATGTTTTTCTCATTGACGCGATTAATATTTACCTCACAATCTAATTCTTTCCGTAAATCTATGTTTGATTGCGCGAGCTGGGTCCAACTGATCATTGTTTTCCATTATATATTTGTAAATGCATGCTAGGGTAAGTATAAATTATTTCTCTTAATTTATTGCATTAAAAAATGAGTACTTGTATAAATCCTAACGAGAATAGCTCTATGTTGCGGGCTGACATTCTATCAACCTACCAGTTATCACTCTAATTATTGCACAGGAAGGATTTCAATTTATACACACTTTCCAACCAGATGTGGGCAGATTTTACTTTATTAATAATATTTTTTTCAAAGCTATGTAAGCTACAACTATGTGTTAAAAGATTATTTGCAAGCTGGTTTAAATATATTGCATAAAGCATTTTTTCTAGCCCAATTCCAACATCAATATTTACAGTGTGTCAAAAATAAGTTTTTCATTCATTGTGTCACAATGAATGGACCAAATTACATGATTTATAGCTTATTTAAAAGCTGAGAACC